ATTCCTACCAGTGCTCTAAAGTCATCTATTTTATTTCTTATACTTCTAACATTACAATAGTAACAATTATGCCTATCAATATAACTACTTTTATACTAATTTCCTATTCTAAACTTTTCTCTGCATCTTATTCTTTTTGCATTCAGTTTTTCCTGGCCCACACCACTGTCTAGTCCTAGTTTAAAATCTCCCTTACAGCTGAGTTAATAGCCTTCGCAAACATGCCAGCCCCTACCATATTTAAATGTAAACCATCAATTGCAAAAAGATCCCTTCTCCCACTGAATTGATCCCACAAGTCCAACCAGCAAATCTGCTCATCCTTACATACTAACCTAAAGCTAGCATTTAGCCCTACTGACCTACTTAAGTGCCTTTATGAACCCCTTGTACTTATTAATTAGATAAGAACTACAGAGAAAAAGTTAAAAACAAAATAAGTCAGGCTTAGAAAACCTTTAAGTTTAACAAAATACGAAGGCTTTGAAAATTTAAAGAAGAAAAAACGTTAAAACCACAGAGGAATCAATTTTGTTGTATGACATACCTAAACAAGAGGATGTTATAATGTGATGTCAATTCCCGTATTTAGTGGGTGGTGTTGACAAGCAGCTTTCCCTTTAGTCTTGTGATGGAATTTAACAATAAACAATATATTACCAATGTTCATCTTCATGTAAAATTAGGATAAAAATCTCCACCGGAGTTACATCTCTGGAGAAAAGAGTATGTAACTTACTTTATATCAGCTAAGGCTAACCGTTTTTAAATCACTAATAACCTCATTAGATGTTATTTGCATACGCTGTTTCGTGGAAGTGAATAATTGACTCATGTAACAAATTAAGTACTTGTGTCTTTAAATTCAAATCAAAAAGTATATAAAGATGTGATAATGTGTTCTAGATCTTGTTTGATTTTTATACATAAACAAAACAGCCACGTACACAGTCGAACAGTTTCTAGTTACCATACAAAAAATTCCGTAATCGAGCCAGCCAACTCTGGGTGATGGATGCTAACACACAGACACACACAATTATATAGTGGATCGTCTTTATAGCATGTTAGGACTAACCTCTTATACTAAACAGAAAGGTGTGGAAATGAATCATGGATCATCCGACTGATTATGATCGTATATTAAGAAAGAAACAGTTTGATACAATTTAAAAATGTAACGAAAATCAGTTGAAGTATGTAGTTGTGCTAAAATTTAAATTATTATGCAAACACAACCATAATGTTTTTAATTATATCTCTTATTAGTATTAGTTTTCTTACGATATCAAAGAAATGCGTACAACATTGATGAAAACTACCAGTATTTGATTAATACATGTAAAACGTTCAAATGTGTGGTATTACTACTCACAATTCAGACATAATGTTGGGTTGTCTTTTGATCTTCTCAGTTTCTCACAACTCCCATATCGAACCTTTTCTCAGAGTAAACCATGGCTATGGCCTCTTTAATATCAAGATATCGTCTTGCTGGGTGGTACGATTGGTGAACGTATGCCTAACTTTTATTAGCCAAATGTCAGGGGTGCCATCAATTTTATGTAGCTCACTGACACTGTCGTCTAAGAGGCAGACTAAAACTTGTACTAATCCTCCCCCATATTTTACTGTAGTTGTTGTAGGTTAAAATAGAATACCACTCATCTTTCTTCGGTCAAACAAACTGTTTTTGATTGTTTCTGAAGAACTGGAAATGAAATATACCCTGAAATAATTAACATTACTTTTTGAGAGTGTCGGTTTTCTATTGTTAGCGGTGTGGTTTCTTGCACCTCCTTCACAGTCTTGTATACAACTCATAATAAGCATGGTGTTTTGTTGCATTTTTTTCCTATAGTGTGTTTTTTATCTGCTAAATCCTTCACTTCTATAATCTTGTTGTGAGGTATTTCAGCCATGATTGAAATTACACCACTATTACTGGGCATAGTATGAGTGTCTGTAAATATGGCTTTGTACTAGCATGGATGAAAACTAATCTCAGTGTAAACCAGAAATACATGACTCCCCTCTATTAATATTCTTTTTCACACTATAATACCTTTAATACCCTTTTTTCCTCACCACTTCCATAGTTATTCTGAATACTGTACCTTTGTGAAAATGAATTAAAATAACGTTTTATATATATATATAGAACTTTAACTATGCTCGTACTTACCAGTACAACCAAGGGCTTCGATAGAACTTTAACTATGCTCGTACTTACCAGTACAACCAAGGGGTTCGATAGAACTTTAACTATGCTCTTACTTACCAGTACAACCAAGGGCTTCGTCATTTCCATTTCCACAGTCGTCCCTTCCATCACAGAATTTGTTCAGACTTATACAGTTTCCATTTCCACAGGAAAACTCCGTGAATTGGCAGCCAGACCCCGAAAGAGACGTCCCCACCTCGAAACTTTTCATTATTGCCAGTACCGTAAATGTTAGTATTTCCAGCCACTGCATTGTAGAGGTCATCTTAGGTTAGGGTCAGATTGTAAGATGTCGTATAGACACGCATGGCTAAAACACAAAAAATACTAAAAACATAATTAATGTATCACGTAACAAGTGAGAAGAAGTCCAAGTAATTAATCAACGCAATCTAATCATTATCATATTTTGTTTTCTGCTTTTACTTACGAGTAATTATAATGGAATGTAAAGTTTGTTATATTATAATTTAGATCTATGTGGTTAGTTTGCTGTAATCAGAAGTTACTGATAAGTGTTTGAAATTTCAATTCTCAGCTGGCCATAACCTTTTGTCTCATATTTCTCATAACTTGGCCAAGTTCGTACTTATATTTTTGAAAGAACGACTGAAAATTAAAATACATAGAGAAAAAGGATTTGCAATGATTACTAATTCAAAGAAAATCTTCTGTAAAAATGGCAAATTTTTCTTTCAAGAGGGAGCGAGTGGGAATGAGTTATAATCGAGGATAAGGACGAAACATTGGCAGACTGAAAGTATTCAGTTGACCATTAACCCCCAAGGGGAACGACCCAAAAGTCAGAAGAAAATTATGAGTTACATGTTTTGTGGGGACCGCTACAATAAAAATTTGTAGGTAGATATTATTTAAACGAATATATAATCCCATGATATTATGAAATCAATTCCTCTCTCATCCTTTGAAAGTTGGTTATATTTTTCAACAATCAAGTTTAAGGGTTTCAGTAGAAACAGAATATTAGAGACAAAAATGACATTAACTAAACTATGTTGTTATTCTTAGCTGTATTTGTTTTTGTTTTAGTGAAAGCGTCCGTTTATTGGAAGGAAAGGATGCATCTTTGTAAGATTCTGGGAAAAATACCTCATGACGTTTGACAGAAGGTAAACTTATTATATGCGAAGGTGTTTTGTTATTATTTTAAAAATTAACTCACATTAATATTATGAAATAAAAACTCGTCAAATTTTATTTTGATACTGAAGTTATTTTATCAGGTTTTTTTTGTTTTTTTACTTTGGTTAACATCTTGGAAGTTTCTTTGGTGGTCTGCAAAACCAGATCGATTTCTGTTTGGAAGATCTCCGTATTGATTAGGCTTCAAACTTAAAACCCCTAGTAGGACCGCGTCTTTAACTTTTCAAATAATCTGAAATCGATATTATGTAGTTTAGATTTGGTGTTAAGCAGTTAACATATTATGTTGATTATATTTGATGTTAAACAGTTAGCATATTATGTTGATTACATTTGATGTTAAACAGTTAGTATATTATGTTGATTATATTTGATGTTAAACAGTTAAAACATTATGTTGATTCTATTTGACGTTAAACAGTTAACATGTTATGTTGATTATATTTGATGTTAAACAGTTAACATATTATGTTCATTATATTTGATGTTGAACAGTTAACATATTATGCTGATTATATTTGATGTTAAACAGTTAATGTATTGTGTTGTTTCTATTTCGTGTTAATAGTCAGCATATTATGTTGATTAAATTTATGTTAAACGGTTAACAAATTATGCTGTTTAGATTTGGTGTTAAACGGTTAACTAATTATGCTGTTTAGATTTGGTGTTAAACGGTTAGCAAATTATAATATTTAGATTTGGTGTTAAGGGGCACATGTGTTTTTAGATTTGGTTGTAATAAAAAGAGGGTAAATATCAGGAAATATGTTAGTAAGAAACACCATAAAGTAGGCAAGGAATAAATAGAAAAGTAAGTGGAGAAAGAAGAAAAGAGCCTGGTTACGTCTAATGTGTTTTTCATTTCTTTTATTTTTTTAAGAGAGCTTTGAAAAAAGTTTAAGACTTTTAAAATTGTTATTATCTTTTAAATTAATAAAGCTAAGTCTAATTGCATCCAAAATACCAGTTTCTACGAATTGTTATCCCTTAATGGGTTGTCGTCCTGGCTGTGGACTGAGGGCATATAGTCCCTTGAGCATATAAGAAATTAACAACCAATATTTGATGGGAAAATAAGTATTAGTACTTTGAAGACATATGAATATACGTACATAAAGGGGTTTCTTATATGAAAGGTCAGCTCTAATGATTTGAGTCTTTCAAACACTAAATCTCAAAAAATGTCCAATAACATAGAAGACACAATACATAAAACAACTGAATTATGAGCAAATGGAATCCTTTGGTTCAGAAAAACAGGAATTCAAATAAATGCCTTGTTAATGGACTTACACTACAATAAAATCAGCTGTGATATATCATATAATGGATAATGTGTAAGGTTTCAGTTTCATCTCAGAACTTAATAAAAATCGTTGTTTTTGGACTACTTGATGGAGTGGCGGTATACTCTCACTCAAACTGAGCAAAATAAAACAACTTGTATTTAAATGGTTACTGTTAGTTAATAGACGTTAAACCGAAAATATTTATAGATAACTTATATTTACTTATTCTGTAATATTTCTAATTTAAATATATGTACATATTCTATAAGATTTGTAGTTTAATTATATATACTTATTTTATAATATATATATATAGCTTAAATATGTATATACTTATTTTATAATATATATATAGCTTAAATAAATATACTTATTTTATAATATGTATATATTTTAAATATATATGTACTTATTCTATAAGATATATAGTTTAAATATATATACTTATTCTATAAGATATATAGTTTATATGTATATACTTATTCCATAAGATATATAGTTTAAATATATGTACTTATTCTATAAGATATATAGTTTAAATATATATACTTATTCTATAAGATATATAGTTTATATGTATATACTTATTCCATAAGATATATAGTTT